TGACTGTATATCCCTGTAATTATTACACACTGTAGCTTTAAGTAAAAGTAGGAAAGATCAGGTTCTACATTGGACAAAGTAAAACAGTAAAATTAAGTCTTTGTCTTAATTGATCCAAAAGAAAAAAAGGATTTTATATGCAGATGTTTATTTTTATTTTTTTGCTCACCTAGTTGGTAGAGAAAATGTAAAAACGTTTTGGCTCAGTTTAATTTTATTATAAAATGCAAACAGCAGTCCAGCATGACTTGCTGGAAACTTTTAGACTACTAGTTTTCACAGCAATAAAGGTGTAAATTGCATTAAACTGGAAATAGAACCAGAAACAAAAGCAACATGTACATTTAGAATATAGCAAAAGTGGATCGAAGGGCGAGTTTCCTGAATCTGATCCATCATCTGAAATATTTCCCAACCCTCTGTGTTTATCCATGTCTCTATCAGCAGCTACATTTCAAGGAACAAAAATAATAAATTGAAGGCATGATCATACCAAAAATGTTCCATGTAAACATGTCAGACTGAAGATTTTAATCTGATTCAGTCTCGTTGGAAACAAATGTCATCTCTAAAGAGAGTGGTGGTTTTTGCTCGTCGCCATTCCGATTGGCGTTCATGTAAACAACTAGAAAACTCTGCACATGCTTAAATTCTTTAATCTGATCGAATGCTTGGAACATTTATACAAACGTCATGATCGGATCATTTTATTTAGTGTTCATCCTGGAAATCACATCTCAACGGAGCTAGTGTCTTTCTATAAACAAACTGGGCTATAGTTAGTGTTCATGCTCTTCATTTTCTCTCTGTTTTGTTTCAAAGTAAGGAGTAGAAAGCCCCGATATTTGGGTTCAAATGCATTGAGTAAAAGTGAAAAGTCCTCAGGATTATAAATACTCAACTAAAGTACTAATATCAAAAAAAGCTACTCATATAAAGTAACTAACTATTTATACACAGTTACATGAAACCTGTGTCGATCAAAGCATCAACTTTGATGAGCTTGCATTACCTTGAAGTATAAAAGCAACCCCCACAGCATAATACTGCCACTGTTGTGTTTTACTGAGGGTGTGATGTGTTCAGGGAATTTGGACTGTATAAACAAGGCTATACACAGAAATAAGAGGACGTCCCAGCTTTTCTTGAGGAACTGCTTTGGATTAGCAGATTTTTCTGCACCTGATCTAAGGAATGACTGAAAGCATTCTCACCTGTAGATTCGAAACTGCTCCTTGTCATCCGAAGACCAGGAGTCGTACTCCTCCTGGGAGGGATAGTGGGATTTGAGCAACAATACATCCACCAGCTGGAAGTAAACTGGCTTATAGACCTGCAGGTAAACCGCCTGCTTTTCTTCCTCAAAAGAGAGAATGTCGTCCTGGAAGTCCAATGAAAAGCAACAGAGAGATACTGAATGAGCATTAATGAATGCATTTAATTACAACTGAACAAAGTTGTTTTTTTTCCATGATAGAAGAAAAGGTAGAACCAATGTTTGCATTTCCGTACCTGCAGTGTGTACCAGAAGGTAAGTGTCAGGGAGCTCGTGGTCTCATTAACTGGGTAGTGTCCAGGGATTCCAGTACAGAATAGAATCATGTTCACCAAAGCCAGATATTCCTGCCAGTGGTCCAGCTGTTCCAACATAACCCTACCAGGGATAAAAACTAATACGTAACACCTGCAGGTTTTAGTTTGTGTGTGTAGTCTAATGTTACGTTCAGACCGCATGCGCTAGAGGCAGCAGAAGCAGCTGATTTCCATGCAAAGTCAACGGTTGACGCACATCAAGGCACAGCAAAAGGTCCTGCAGCAGGACACACTGCGA